AGCTTGCCAGCAAGTTCGCTGAGACACGCTGGCCCAGCTTTTCGGGAGGAGGTTTCTTATTAATCAAATGCTCGGCTGTCGACTGTAGCGAAATCGACTCTGGACTGCACAAATACACTCGAATTCCAATGTCGAGTGCGCCGGTGCAGATTTCCTCAGTGGACTTGTCTGAGTGGGCGTTCTGCCAATGCCCGATCTTCAGGCCCATAGAGCGTGGCTGAAATCTACACGTCGTTCATTTTTTTTGCCGTGGCAATGCTTCGCGGCGCAACGGCTGCTCGCGAGCTGTGCGGCAGGCAGCCACTAGGCCACCCCGAAAAAGGCGCGGACCGCACCGTCTGAGAGCCGCACTGCTGCCTCGGCTACGCGCACGCCCACCTTCGTGGGGTGCCAACCACCGAGCAACTTCGCCTTCGCGCAGGTGACCTGTCTCGAGGTCGCCTGACCTTGGCAGCGGTCACCTAGGGACCGAAAAAGCACGCCCTGAGCACCGTACCCCGCATCGGTCACAAAATGTGTACGGCCCCGCGCGGTACAGCTGGTGCCCCTGCGCTGGGTCTAGGGCCCTGCTGGCCACACTTCCACTAGCTCTGGCTGGCCCCGAGCGTGGCCCCACAGGAGGATATGGAGGAGCAGCAGGAGGGCCAGGCACTACAGGCTCGAGCGGCTGGGAGCTAGGCGACGCGGCGCCTCGGCCTCGGCTGCAACTCCTATGCACAGAGCCACCCTCATGGATCACTCGCTGCCGCACTCCAGAGCACCGCTGGCGCTTGTGCTGCGCCGCTCGGGCCCCTAGCACCTTGGAGCGCGCGCCGCAGCCCAGGCACCTGTACCACTGGTCCTCCGTGACGAAGTTGTGCCTCCTGGTCGTCGGGCCCCGCGGCCGTCCTTGCGCCACAGGGCCATCAGGCGCGCTCGGCCCTGCAGCATCACCGTGACCGTCAGGGTCCTCGATGGGGTCGTCCTCCATCTCGTCATCGGCAGCCGCGGCTGCTGCTGCTGGCTGGGTCGCCACCCTCGCAGCCTCCTCGGCTGCAGCAGCCACCTCCTCAGGCGATGCGCCTGCCGCCGCTGCCGCTGCCGCTGCCGCCGCCACAGCTGTCGCTCCTGTAGCCGTGGCCTGCCCTGCCGAGGTCATGGCAGGCCTCACCTCGTCGGCCTCGGGCTGCCGTCCTCGCAACTGGGCCTCTCGTCGGCGCTGTGCCCGTGCCTCCTCTTTGGTGGGCAGCGCGACGTCCCCGAAGTCGCCGACCTCCACTGCCATGTCTGTCACGAAGGCCAGCACCTGCTGTACCGTATTCCAGCGGTCCTGCCAGACGTCGATTTGCCACTGCGGCGGCATGGCCAGCTGCGCTCCTTTGACCGCCAGTTCATCGGCAATCTTGTTGCCGTGCACGTGGAATGCGTTCTGCCCTCTGCCATGCGACCGTACATGCGCCACCATGAGGCCATCCATGTTCGGGAAGGTCTCGTCCACGACGTTCCAAATGCGCATCCAGATGTCGCAGTTGCTCCTCTGCGGCGCCGTGCACCACTGTCGGCCCCTCCTCATGCCTCTCACCGCCATCTCGTAATCGGTGACCAGCATGGTGCGGGCCGTCGCCCTGCGCAGGGCATGCCAGATGGCCTGGAGCTCAGCACGCCCCACCGACAGATCAGCTCGTACTCCTGGCAGGCTACCGTATGCTCCACCAAGCGCCGTGTACTGACCTTCGCCCGCTGGCTCCTCGAACCACATGTAGCCCCAGCCGTAGCCCTTGAACGTGTTGGCGCCTTTGCCCGAGCCGTCAGTGAAGCAGACCCCCGAGATGAACGGCATGACGTCGTCCTCGCTGACGTCGTCGCCCTCTGCGTTGACCGCATGGTACTGCTCGATCTGGGTGTCGCCCTCTACGTCATGGATGGGGTGCGCCACCAGGCCGCAGTTGAGCTGCAAGCTCTTGCCTGAGCCCGCCATGCGCTGCACTATGCCCGCATGCTTGTCTGCGAGCTTGGCCCTGCTCTCCTCGTGGGCCTCGCAACGCCCGAATCAGTGCATCTGAGTGCCTAGCGCGCGCCTGCACTGCTGGCACATGCCGTCGGCTACCGTGCCGCGCTGCTGGAGCTTGGCCTGCGTGCAGTAGTCCTGCCCCACGTAGGCCTTGATGGCGCCTTGATTCGCAGCCCACCTGCGCTTCTTGAGCAGCGCCCTCACCGGCTCCAAAAACGGCATCGGTACCTCCTCGGCGATGCCCTTCTCTGTGGCCCACTTCGTGAGGACCTGCCTCTCGATGGCCCTCTCCAGCTTGTACCTGACCGTCTTAGGCGCCACCGTGTGCGTTGTTCCTGGCCCCCTAGTGACCAGAAAGAGGCCCAGGATAGAACAATTACAAATGAAAGGATCTTGGCCCACAAAAAAATCAAAAAACTTGCGAATAATTAGAAACGAGCAATGAGTATGCTTCTGTGGGTTGCCTGGCTTTCGCAAGCTACAGCGAACTTGGCTCTTGCCGAGCCGCCTTCGACACACTGCCACTGGGTTCTTCCAGGCCTCGCGGGCGTTTGACAGGGGCGAGCGGCGAGTGGTGAGCGTCTGGATTCCTTACCCTAGCCGCCCCGGTGCGCAACACGCAACCCGTAGCGTTGACACGGAGCTCAACACGTAGACTGACAA